ATCCAGAGAAGGGAACAGGGCTGGGAAAGGGTCTGGAGCACAGCTCTGATGAGGAGCAGCTGAGGGAGCTGGGGGGGCTCAGATTGGAGAAAAGAAGGCTCAGAGGGGACCTTCTCACTCTTTACAACTCCCTATAAAGAGACTGTAATCACATGGGGTCGGTCTCTGCTCCCAGGTAACAAACAAGAGGACAAGAGGAAATGGCTTCAAGCTGTGCCAAAGGAGGTTTAGATTGGATATTTGCAAAAAATTTCTTCACAGAAGGGTTGTCAAGCATTGGAACAGGCTGCCCAGGGGGGTGTTGGAATCAGCATCCCTGTAAGTGTTCAAGAAACATGCACCTCTGGTTCTTAGGGACATGGTTTAGTGGTGGACCTGGTAGTGATATGTAAATTTTTGGACTCAATGATCTTAGAGATCTTCTCCAGCCTTAATGATTCTATGATTTCTCAAGCCACTTCTTGAGATAAAGGAGTTTTTCATGAGTGAGGATAATGGTTCTGCCCACTTCCTTATTGATGACACTGGTTAACAATTACAATATAATAATTCTTACTTAGACCTGTGCTAATTATTTCAGTGCGTAGTAAGTCAAGCTCCAGCACTCACACCTCTGCCCTGGCATTGGTTAATCTTCTTTTAGAGTTGCCTCCAGCTGAGAGGGCAGTGTGCCATGGAAAAGTGGTGGAGATGAACAAGAAGAAAAACACAACCTAAATAATAAGCACTTTGAGTTGTGAAATTGAACATTTAACTTAATACTTGTATTTCACACTAGAAGAAATGCCACTGGAATGAAGGAGGCAGAAATGTGTGATGAAATTATTCTGTGCAAAGGACTCTGGGACTTGAAATCTAAATTATGACAGCAACTTCCTTACTAAAAGGGGACTGGAATGTGCAGCCTTTTTAAGGTGAGACTTAAATAAAATTTATCCCCCTTGTTGACTGCACAGAAGAAGACCAAAGGTTTCCCAAAGGTCACAGAGTGGGGATTGCAGGTTATTTATGCTATTTGTTATTTCTCTCTGAAAGGGAGTCTGAAAGGGATGGAGGGTTGCTTGCCTGACTTCTGTTTTTGCCTAGGAAATCTCACAAGACCTGTTTCTGCTCATGCTGATAAATATTTAGGCTCCCTTCAACACTTAATGCTAATAAAGTTACAATGATGGTGAAGTTTAGAGAATTTTATTTCTTGGTAATAAGAAAGAATGAAAATTATGATGAACAGGTCAGTGAAGAATGATTAGTTTAGAGACTGATACAGCAAAAGAAGATATTAAAAATTTTTGGAACACATGTCTACTTGTTATGAAAAACAAAGTTTCCAAATGCAGGGACCTTCCCCCTTTTGATTATCTGTTGTTGGGAATTAAGCCATTTTCTCAGACACTCCTTTTTCTTTACAAGGCAGGTGTACTTAAATGCAATCTAGCACTACTAACAGCAGTCTTAATTTAAATTAACTACATTTAGTTTGTTTCTTTGGGGTATTTTTTGTGTTTTTTCACAACTGAGCATTTTACAGTAGAACATATGCCAGCAACAGATTCTAAACCAGAATAGATCTAGAGGAAACTGCTCTGCCCTCCTAATTTCTTTTAAGAATTACATATTTCAAGCAATCCTGTTTATCTTGTGGTCCTGTTAACAGTACAATAGTTTAAATTTTCAATCAAGTTAAAAGTAGTTACGTGACCAAGCACTATCCATCTATGCCAAGAACATAATAAACATATGGAACCACAGACCTTTAAAAAATGTTTATTACATAACATTTTGGGAAAAGAAAGATGAGAAAAGCTAATAATTAAATATATCTGGTAAACAAACAACAAATTTAAATTAAGATTTCTACCATATTCTGGACCATTATATAAATAGAATATATACATCATCCTACAGATTTTTCTTGTGTGAGTCACTGTACTCAAGTCAGTCCTTCTGCACATGTTAGAGAGGCAGGATGAAATCAATGTTTGTGGAAGAATTCATTAAGGAGATTGATGTCCAGGAAGGTAAAAATTGAGCCTGTTATTTTATTCCAGTTTTGAATTGACAAGAGCAGAGAAGTGGCCTTGACAAAGCTCTGGGTACATCCTGGACACTTTGCCAGGAGTTTTGGAAAAAAGCATCTTCAAACTTTCAAGGGTTGGCTGAAAATGATTTGAAACACAAAATTAATCATGAGTGGGAAGTGAAAACCCACCACATCTTTCAGAATAATTATTCATCAACATTATTTTCTCTCTAATGTTTTCCTCTCTGTTGCCATTTACTCCCCAGCAGCATCCGAACCTCTAATTTAGACACACATAGAAAATACATGGCTCTCTCAAGGAGACTTCTCACTTAACCATAAAGGAGTTCTAAAGCTCTCTCTTTATACTAAAGCTTGTGGTGAGAATTTGGTTAATTCCATAACAGAAGACAGGAAGTAATTCTTGCATTGTTGGTGTCAGCCCATACGTTTCTATTTCCTATTAGAATTCTAAAAGCTCAGGTCTGCCACTTGCTCTTATCAAGTGTGTTGCTACTTCCATTTGATCTGCCACTATTGTTAAGAGGATGAAGAAGGAAAAAAAAGGTAAAGAAGTCCCCTCCTTCCCTAGAATTTCTTTGGCTCAAGGATGAAATTGATCTCTCCCAATCATGGAAAAGTGTTATCTCACATAGGTAAAGAAGAAATGAGATTCCCTGATAGTGATTCTGGCCTAGTATTTCAGCAAATATTTTTTAAAAAAAATAAGTTTGCATAAATTAATTGTTGCTTAGGTTTTTTTTAAAATATCACTTTACCCAGGTCACAATTAAAATGCCTGGAACTTACTGCATAATCCATCCTCACAGGCATTGGGGCAATCCCCGCAGGGCTCTCCTTCCTTGTAGGGTGTCTTCATTGAACTTATTAGGTTTCCCCTGAAACATCAATGTTGCCAACATCAGCTATGAAGTCACTACACCATATCTGAGAGGAAAACTAAGTTATAAAGATGTTTAGATTTACCCTAAGTTACTTATGCAACTTACTGCTACATTTACACTCTGGTTATATGCCAATCAATTTTCACCTGTGTGCTGGGTTTGTTTGGAAGTGCTTTGGCAGTGGGCAGGGAGGGGGAGGAATTTGGTGGGTGAGGAATTTAGAGGGATGGCTTTTCTCAGAAGACACCAGAGGCTGTCTCTATCCCACACAGGGCCAATGTTGGCCAGCTCCAAGTTGGACCCATGTGATGGTGAGAGTGGCTCTGTGATAACACATTCAAGGGAGGGTAAATTCTGCATGCAACAACAGCCAGAAGAAAGGAGTGAGAATGTGTGAGAGAAACCACTCTGCAGACACCCAGGTCAGTGCAGAAGGAGAGGCAGGAGGTGACCCAGGCACTGGAGCTGAGATTCCCTGGTGCAGCCCATGGAGAGGCAGCTGTGCCCCTGTAGCCCATGGATGTCCATGGGGATGGAAAGATCCACCTGCAACCTGTGGAGGACCCACACTGGAGCAGGAGGATGCCTGAAGGAGGCTGTGATCCCATGGGAAGCCCTCACTGGATCAGGCTCCTGACTGGACTTGTGACCCTGTGGAGGACACATGTTGCAGCTGTCTGATCCTGAAGGAATGGAAACATGGAGGGAATCCATGCTGGAGAAGTTTAGGAAGAACTTCAGCCTGTGGGAAGGACCAAACTGAACTTCATGGAGAACTGTCCTCTGTGAGCAGGACCCCACAAGGGAGTGGGGGAAGAGCATGGGGAGGAAGGATTGGCAGAAATGGCATGAGATGAACTGACCAGAGCCCCCAGTTCCATCCCATTGTGCTGCTGAGTGGGAGGAGGTAGAGAAAACTGGGAGTCAAGCTGAGCTTGGAAGGAAGGCAGGGGCTACTAGGAGGTGCTTTAGATTTGGTTTTACTTCTTATTATCCTAGTCTGATTTGGTTAGAGATAAATTAAGTTAATATTCCCAATCTGAACCCTTTTTTTCCATGACAGTAACTGGTGAGTGAACTCCCCTGACCTCATCCTGACCCATGAACTTTTTGCTATATTTTTTAATTACTCTGTGCTGTTGAGGAGGACTCAGAGAGTCTGGGTGAGCTATTGATGGTCAGTCAAGGTCAACTCACAACAAGATACTGTGAATGTGGAAATTAATTTTAGGCACTATTTGAAATCATCACTTTACCTTAACATTCCTGTTAAGGATTTTTGGTATTAATTATAGACTTCACTGTACTGTACATATTGGTATGCCTTTCTGAACTGAGATTTCAAGTAGAAAGTGCAAAATATTTATTTCTAATTAACTATTATGAAAATTAGGATTTTTAGGCAAGTGACATTTAATCTAAAAATCAGTGTCCCTTTTATATGATTTATGCATTTTCTTGTTTGACAACTCTTTTCATGAGTAAGTTTCTGTCTTTTCATATTCCTAATACAGGCTTCAAACCTCTTTCTCAGGTATTGGTGATGTGCCCTGTTACAAATTTCACCAAGTCCTGACTAATTTTGATAGTGTAAGAAGAACCAAAATCAGACTCAATACGTACGCGGGGCAGTACTGGCAGACGTAAAAGTAACTGTACGTGGTGTTGCTGCAGAAAGCAAAACCACATCCAATTTTATAGGAATTGTGCCAAACCATCTGTAGGTATAAGAATAAAAATCATGTGAGTATGAAAAACATACATTTGAAAATAATTTAAATACAATGTGCATCACAGAAATGTTTGCAATGACGTTAAGTCACTTTTTTTACCTTTTATAGTAAAAATATGAGCCCCATTTTACTGAAAATCTGTTTTCACCCTTATTTAACCAAATAATATTGGGGCTATAACAATAATAATTCCAGACACATGTTTATAAAACCTTTGATTTTGTATTTATGTCTTCATTCAATTGAAACTGTTAATGTAGGAATGATGATGTAAAATTTTGTATCCTGTGCTTTGTGCAGATACCGTAGAAGTTTAGGACAGGTCATTGTCTAACTCCTCTGACTCAAAAGAACTCTGTTGACTGCAACAAAACTATTTATATTTCCTTGCTGATACTTTAATAATCCTGTTTTTCCAGCGTCTGGGCAATTTTCAGATGTTAAACAAATTGGTTTAACAAATAAAAAATAGGTTGCTACTTCCTGAAGTCTTGAAATATCAGTATCTTTACTCATTACTCCTACATACACTTAGACTGTTATTTTCATTTTAATATTGTTACTTTACCTATTATTTTCATTCTAATTCTGTTCCTTTGAAAGTTTTCATAAATGTTTGGTTGGAATAACTCTCATGTCTCCATTTTATTTATTTCTATTAAAGTTGAGAGGGTAAAACTTTCTTAGCTAACATTTATTCCTTCAGCCTGAAATATATATAGATATATATATATATACATAAAATACATCTACCTGAGTGTAATGGCCAAACATAGCACCTTTTGTTTTTGCCCCAATTCCATATTCAAAATTTTTCTTCTCATTGTACCAGGCCTGAAGAACATCTGCCCATGAGAACGGGGCAGAGGACATGAAGAGATTTTCACCACAAAGTACATCTGAAAAAAGAATGGTGCTGAGAAGAAATGCATGGAGAAATACACACAGAGAAAAAAACTCCAACAAAACAAACCAGCAGAAGGTGGGATGATTTCCATAGAAATTCTCATCCTAAATGGGGAAGCAAGATGTTTGTTTTTTTTTATTCCAGCTGAGTGACATCACCCTTTGTAAATACTGAAGGTGTCACTTGACCAGGTTGCAGCATGGCTGGTTTGGCTGATGGCTGGTTCTTGACAGACATTTTGTATGACTAAAGGAACACCTGCACTGGTGCATCCCAGGTTCATGACTGTAATTTTGCTATTTGGAAGTTGCCAACTTCCAAATAATCATATGTCCAAATAATGAGTAATAATCATTACCCAGGTCATGGCCCAGTAATCTTGGGAAAAGCCCAATAATCCAAATTTTACTCCTGGAACACAAGAAGTCTGTACTGCCCTTATCTACTGCTTTTATCCAGGTCTAGGCCCACTGCTTTGGTCCTCAAATGGGATTCACCCTGGAAACAAACAGAGGATTTGGATTTTAGGAGAAAATATTGACAGGACTGTCCACATCTTAGGCATGGTGTGGGCAAAAGTCAGTCAACAGCACATTGGGCTGTTAACATGGTACAGCTGTAAATTCAATATCCAGTGTCTGACTGAAGTGTTAATCTGAACCTCAAAGACAGGTTTAGATTGCAATTTTCCAGATGATTTAAAAACTCTAAGTCTGGTCTGAGTTGCTGTGCTCAGCACCACCAAACAGTTTTACAATTTTGCCCCTTTCTTCCCAGACATTTCAAACCAGCACATGTAAACTGGTTTCTGCACTAAACTGGCTCTAGATCTCTAGATTTGCTTTCTTCTGGTGGGTGTTTTAGGAGAATATTTATCATTGTGATATAGTTTTTTTATCTGCTCTAGAAAATGGGATATAGCTACGTAAAACTGGGATGAAAATAGGATTGAACTTTTCTCACTCACTGGGCAGATTTCTACCTAGAAATTTCCCTTTTTCACATGACCAAAAAAAAAAAAAAAATCAATATGGAATTAAAATTGCATCTCATTTCCCCCCAGAAAGCAAAACCCCAAACTGGTCACATCAATAATGTGTGACACTGTTCAGTTCCACTCATGCTTCACTTACTGGTTCTCCTCAGATTAGGGGGACTGTGCCTTAAAGTACATTGATTGGCCCAATTTTGGGCATTCTCTGCAGCTGGAGGACACCATTCCTTAATGGAAGAAGAAAATATCTGTCACATACCTATGAATAACCCCTCATGAAGGAACAGCATTTAGAAATTACATTTAAATAAGAAAAAAGTCAAATGCAAAATCCTTGTCATCTTATTTTTTTGAGGGGAGAGGTAGGAGCAAAATTACTGTGCACCAAGGGAATAGAAACTGTGAAGCCTGATGAAGAATGCATCAGAAAGAAATTAATTATGCTATGGATCTTTCTTCTCCTTCTAATTTTACTTCCAAAGAGACATTGCTGTTGATATACCACCAAATTTTCAGAATTTGTTTCTTCCACCTGCCCAGCCTTATGTTTCTCTTGGTGCTGATTGTGCTCAGTCCTTAGGAAAGGTCTGGAGAAGGAATCTGTGGCTAAATAAAATAATCTGACCCTGCATACAGTCTTGTCTCTCTCACAGAGCCCACTACTCATTAAAAATAGATTTACAGCACACAACTTACCATCTTCATCATATTGCTGGCAGTTGGTTTTACTCCTCTCCTGAGGGCATTATGTCTGTCAACAATCAGCTTTTGCTGCTCTGCTCTGCTGCTTGACAGAGCACTGAGAGCTTCAGCTTCCTAAATTAAAAAAAAACAAAAACAAAAGAAGATGTATTTCTGTTTTATTTGAATGTAACTAAATCCTGCATCCTGTGTAGGAAATATTAAAATACCAAAATTTCATTATCAGCTAAGGAAATAATACATGGGGGGGAAGAAGGACTGTGGTCTGCTTTGTCTCCTGTCTCCAGGGGTGTGTCCATGTGGAGCAGCATTTTGGTGGTTCCAGGGTGTAGTTAGCAGTTAGGCAACACAAGCAGACTTATTTACCAATATTATAATTTCCTAATGAGCTTTTGTGGAAAGAGGATCTAAAAATCATCTGCATGTATGAATTGTGGTTATGATGTGTTTCTTTTCTAGTTTTGAACATCCCTATGAATGTTTTTCTATTGAAGAAATCTGTTTAATAACAGGATCACCTCAGGCCTCTTGTGGTACTTCATCAGGATATCCCATTGAGCAGAAATGTTTATATCTTTCATGCCATATATTTTTTCCAAGTTATAACTGATAAAATTTCTCATGCTTTTCATATATTCTCTAATTAAAAAATAGCCATGTGAGGAACTCAGCCTGCTCTTTAGGTCTATTCCAAACTAGTCTAGACTGCAACACTGAGAGAAGAAATTGAAGAACTGGGGGGAAATGCAGGCAAGGCATAGGTCACATCCAGTGTTTCTGATGCAGAAGTAGCAAACTACAGATTTCAGGCTAAGTTTGGGTTGGGAGGAACCACTCTGTGTGTGCATTTGGGGTGTTAATTTAGCTGTTTGAGGGAAATCAGGGATACAGGTGGAGCAGATGGGACTCTGAGCAAAGGGAGAGGCAATACCTCAGGACCTGTAAGGAGAAAAAGGGAGAGAGGTAAGTAAATGATATCTGTAAACCTGTATGGAATTAATGGGAAAAGTGCTGGATGTTTAGGAGGTCCTGATTACTGGATTTGTCTATGGAAACTTCTGGAAAATGCATTTATCTCTGACCCAACTTATGAGTAATGTTGAATCTTTAGATGTTTATTTTTTATGCAAATGTGGAACTAGACAACTGCTTTGAAATGAAGCAGACTTCAAGGATAAATGCTTTCCAGATCCTAAATATCTAATACTTCAAGGGTAAATGCTTTCCAGATCCTAAATACCTCATCAGACTCTTCGTGCACATGTTTGGTATGCATAGGAAAAGCCATATTCTGTGGGTCTACAGGTGCCTCAGGGCCCACCCAAATTTTACAAACAAGAGAAATGTATTCTACCTGTCCAGTGGAGGGAGGCAGCACAGCTGTGAAACACAGGAACACCACTGGCAGAATCATCTCTGAAAAGGTGAGAATGAGGAATTAATTTTTTTTTACAGAGCTTTCTTTTCTCTGAATACAAAATACATTTTTCTCCTATGTGTTTGCTGGCTTTTGCTCAACTTCCTTCCTTCCTTCCTTCCCATCCACTTTTAGCACTAAAATAATAAAATTAATTTCTCCTCTTCATTTCCAAATTTCTATGAACCAACTGCTTTTAACATCTCATACTTCCTGATGTAGCTGATATCTCCACAGGTATCCACAGGTATTTTTGCTGCCCTTCCTGCAGGAAGATTATTGCTCAGTTTCAAACTGCAGGATGGGATGGGATGCTGCTCTTAGCTTGTTCCTGTGTCTAGGTGAGTCTGAAAATTCCCCTGCTCCCCTCTGTCTGCTCTGACTGGAGTGCTTTGGTTGAAAGTGGCATCAGACACTGAGTCCATGTGATCTCTGCAGTTGGGTGAAGGAATCAGGATTCAAAACCCACTGAAGGATTGATGATCCAGCACTGTGAAATCTTGCATGTGAGCTGAGGCAGAACTGGGAAAGACCTGTTTCAGGAAGCTTTTTTGGTATTATTAGTTTCAAGACAAATCTTGGTTATATTACAAGTAATAAGAAATGAAAACAGAAATTAGAACTTTCTCTAACACTGTGATTCTTGGTATTTCCTCTGCAGGGCCAGGGGTAGGACTTTGATGCTCCTGGTGGGTCCCATCCAACTCAGGTGATTCTACAAATATCTGATTCCAATTTAAGAAGCATCCACCAGGCCCTGGACTCCAAGACTCCACTTGCCTGGGAGGCTCCAAGCACCACTCCAGTGACCCAGGAGGTCACTGCAAAGTTCAGGTATCTGCAATCAACCACACGAGTTTCATTCAGCTTGTTTCTGCTCACCTACCTCTGGCAGGCAAGCAGGTGACTGGAGTGGAATTTACTTGTTCTGGCAATTTTCCCAGCCTCCCACTCCAAGGGAATTTATGAGCATGTTACCACAGAGGTGTATTATTAGCTTAACTTGTTTGGTTTTGAGGGGCTGCTGATTTTAGTTTTAAATTATTCTTGGGGAGAGGCCAGTAAGGTTTGCTGATCCTTTCATATCCTCTCTGCCTCGAGGCAACCAGTTTATACAAAACACAGTGTGCTCTGGAGAACACTGGTACTTGTGGAGAACATGTGATTAAGAAAAGCTATTCTTTACCAGGTGTTACAGCAAGGCCCCAGTTCTTCATCAGCCTCTTACCTTGCTCTGGGGGTGACCCACAGTGCCCAGCCTTAGGCAGGCATGCTGCTCCAGCTCTGCTAAACAACAGAGCCCATGGACTGTGACTATGGACAGCTGGAGGTCAGAGGCCAAAAAACTGGAAAGACTGGTCACATCTGTCCAATTAAACTCTCACAGCATTCAAAATAGGATGGCTTATTCCAAGCACTTGTGTTTGAGGGAAGATCTAGTTGATCCAGAGGAAAATAACCAGAATAAGTCACTCATCTCCTGTTCTTAGTATTGCTTTATGTCCCTTATTTTTAATTTTGACATCATCTGTGCCTCCTTGAAGTGCTTTAGAATCACAGAATTTTTTTTTCTTATTAACTTCTCTGACATGTATGGCTCATACAGAGCCATTACAGAACTTTGCACTTTATCTGATTTAGGTGTTTAACAACAAAAGGTTATACTCCCAATATCATGAAAAAATATGCTTTTCCCCTAAATTTCTAGCTAGATAATAAATAGAATTTGGGTTATTTTTAGCTGTACTCAAGTTACAAGCAAAAATATGTCTTTTGAGTGTAAAATATGATGAGATGCAAATAGAAAACAACCCTTTTTGCACATAAAGCACATTTTAAAGGAAGAATAACTCTTCACTGAAATTGTGAAGCTTTCTATTTTGCAAACCAAGCTGAAGAAGCTAACTTAGAGGCATGGGCAAAGTATCCATTCACTGTAATATTTTCTATGAATTAACTTACAATTAAATATAATTGGTAATTTAATACATGATACAAGTTTCAAAATGCCATTGGAATGCTTTTTAAGACCCAGTGGGTTTCCCACTCCAAGATATTAACATACTTTTGGCAATCCCACTGATTTCAACCAAATGCTTACAGTTTATGAGATGTAAATTTAATTGCTCTGCATTAATTTCTAGGCACCGGTCCTAAAATCAGTCTCTCTCTCCCCCTCCTCTGTTCCCCCTCAATCAAACATAAATCAGGACATGTGCCAAGTCTTACTGACTTTCCTGCAAATCCATCTGTATACCGGGATCTGCCACTGAAAGATGGTGCTTTAGCATCCCTAGTTCATATGAGTTTGGCAAACTCATGTGTTTTTCCCATCTCTCCTTCTAAAATAAAAAATTAAAAGGTGTATCCTAAATTATTCATTTAATTGAATAACCATTACAAACAAAAAAAAATCCCAATTAATTTTTTTTTATCTGTGAAAAAGACCTGAAATAGAATAAAGTTTCAGTCATTGCACTTGTACAGCATTATTGCACAAAGGCTACTTAGCAGCCACTTTGCAGAAAAGAGTCAATTAAACAAGGTGGTAATTTCCTCTCTCTGAAAATAGGTGGTGATAGAAACATGAACCAATAGAACTTACTGAGCTGAATATATATCCCATTCAATGTGTTTTGCTCTCTCTCTGTCCCTTTCTCTATATACAAATAATTTCCTAAGACACTTCCTTCTTGATACAGGTGGCTTCTCCTGTATTCTTGATTGTTCATCTGTTTTCTCTACCTTTTTGTTTTAGCTTGTGTTACACTATTGCCTATACAATCCTTATTTTTCACTGAATAAGATCCTCTTCTGTGGCTGTCCTAGATTTTTCAATAAGTCTTCTAATGATAGGTTGTATTTCAATACATGAAAAAAATCACAATAATTTAAGCTGAATCAACACGAATCCTACCTGTTGTTTCCACGAAGATCAGAAGTTCCTTCTGTTCTTCACCAGGTAGTTGTGGAATTGGCTGTAATTCTTCACTGGAGGGTGATTTATAGCTCTCCTGTTTCCTGATAGGACAAGGTGATTCAACGTCACAGGTATTACAAAATTCACGTAATAACCAGATAGAACAGTGTATTTTTCAGGAGTATATTCATCCAAAAAGGATATTGTTTGCTTGTGTTCCATTTTAATTTCCTCTTACTTCTTGTACTGGAAGAGATGGAATACTCTGAAATAATTTTTGGATGTATTGCATCTTAAAAGTGAAATTTGCAGTCAATGGGGATGCCAGGTACAACAATCTGCTTAATGATTGGCACATCCAGCTGTAGTAACATTTGATCCTAATCTCCAGCCATGTAAATAAATTCAGCTGTCGACTTTATTATTATTATTATTATTATTATTATTATTATTATTATTATTATTGTAGTATTTAACAATGCCTCCAGACTGATATTTTTGTAACTCAGATGGAATCTTGCCCACTGATTTTATCATGGGAGTTTAAAAAGTCTTGGGCCAAGTTCCTATCCATGCTGTGGCTTCTTTACATGGGTCCTATAGTGTAAAAGCCAAAGAAAGATACAATGTAATGTATATTTTTAATCAATATTGGATAAGGATTAAAATATTATCATATTCTCTAACATTAAAACACATATTTATTCTGGTATTGGTACGTGGGGTGAGATGGGATGGGAACACTGCCAGATCAGAAGGGTTTTTGCCTGTGCACTGCTTGCTTCTGTCCGCGTTCAGTCTCCAGCAACTGCTGACCAGAGCAGCTGTCACTGTCTGCTTTTATATCAAATCTTGCTGCTTTTCTGTTTGAATTCAGATCTCCCCTCCTCCTGGTCCCTCAGCTGCTCCCTGAGTGCCCATGTTGTGCCTTCAGAACTTTTCCTTTCCACACCTGGGAAAGCAGCACCCTGCTGCTGGCTCTGCCAGATGAAAGGGCAGTGGGGTGGTTTGATGGTTTGTAATTACACGGAGAGGAACACACTGCCAGCAAGTTTGGGGCTGACACCAAACTGCAGGGAGCAGTGCAGATGCTGGATAAAAAGGCTATCATTCAGATGAATCTCAAAAAGCTGGAGCCACGATTTGACAGGAAAGATCTGAAGGCAAACGACTGAGAGACACCAATTGTCGAGGGAACAGCTCTAAAAAAATTCATTAGGGGCTGGACTTGATCATAGAATGGTTTGGGTTGGAAGCCTTAGAGATCATTTACTGCCAACCCTGCCCCCATGGGCAGGGATGATCTGAGAGGTCTTTTCCAATGTAAATGATTCTATGAGAAGTTGCACAAGAGTCGTCACGAATGATGAACTGCACTGGATTAGCCACTGCATTGTGCACAAGCTGAAAATAATGATTAAACCCACTTTTCAGCAATTCTGAAGTGGTGTTGGGACTGCTGTGCCCAGTTTTAGAGTTCCCAGTAGAATGCCTCAAGAAAGGCATTAACAGAGTAAGCCCAGCAAGGGGCAACTGTGTTGGAAAGGGAGAAGGCAGGGATTGACTCTTTTACAACACAGACTTGAGGTTGAACATGGTGTTGGACCAGGTGAGCTTCAGAGATGCTGTGCAACCAAATCTGTTCTAAGGTTGTGTGATTTTTATGTTGTTTACACTGGAGAGGAGCAAAGTGACACTTGTCTTATTTTATTTGTTGACAGATATGACAGTCCAGCACATTACAGTGGGAACCTCTAATTGCTGTATGAGAAAACATGTGTTAATAGCATAATCATTATAACCATTCCAAATGAAAAGGTCCAATGCAGGTGATCAAAAGGTAAAGACTGCATCTTGTTGTGTGTGTCAGTCATCTCTCTGCCTCATATACACCCAGACCTTGTGAATCACCTCCCCACTCAAGTGTAAGAGCTGCCTATAAACCCGGGAGAATGATTCAGAACAACAGCCTATCCCCGTTAACATTTCTGTCAATATTCTGTCATGACACTTCATAAACTGCTCCTATGGTTCATGTTCACAGAATCACAGAACATCTCAGATTGGAAGGGACCTCGAGAGATCATTTCCTCAGCCTGTTGAAGTCCCTCTGAGCAGCAGCTCAACCACCTGGTGTAGGATCCCCTCCTTTCAGGTTTGCATCACCTGCAAAATGTCTGATTATGTAAACCTCACTTCTCCAGCAAATCCCAGTAAGTCTCAGGAATTTATAGTGGCTCTTTATGCCTGGCATTGCTACTAAGAATACAATTCCTTGTCTAAATTTTCATGCCAGCTCCATCTCATCAATCAGAAGCTACTGTTTCCATTTTTCAGGTATGTAGAGCCCCTCTTTGTGTCCTGACATTCATCTTTCACCCACTCTTCAGATCTTGACCATGACTCTTTCAGCACCTGGTGATGAGTTTAACCTGTTAATTGGTATATTTTCAACATCTTTGGTTTTGTTATGGGAAAGTGATCAATAAACATTTGCAGTTTCTTCTGGATTTTCTCAATTTTGATGACTAAAACATTTTGCAGTGCAGTAATCTAGATTTTAGATATTTAGCTATATATCTAAATATAAGATATTGTCTTATATAGATATAAAACCTGTTTTATTTTCTTCATTTATTATCCCTATGTATCTCTACCCCTCTTCTATTTTGTATCCTGCCATCAAATATCTAGGAAGAAAAGCATTTGCTCATTCTTATTTCTACAACATTTTCCAGAGTTCTCAGAACAGGGTCCCAGAGCCTATCACAGCAAGAGCAGAAACAACTGATATAAAGAATTTAGATTCCTCTCAGCTATCTTTACATATCCAAATGATACATATCTATCACAGTACAGGTGTCCAGATTCTCTCAATATTCAATAGACAGAGACATCTTTCCATTTTCCTATCTTAGATTCTCATCTTAGAAAATTAGTAAATTAACTTCTGAAAGTATTCTTCTGCTCTTGTTGGCCACACAGTGACCCTGACTTAGAATAAATGTTACAAAAGCCTCTGAAACTCCACTCTGCCAAGTTATTTTTGTATGTGGGAGGCAATCCCCAGATATCTAGATACTCCTGGTATTTTTCTACTTTGTGGTTGAAGAGAGAGAATTAGAGGTAGAAAAAAGCTTTTCTCCAGTGGAGGAAAAAAATAATTGTTATCACAGGTTAGGATTAAGCTAAACTAAATTTATCATTCTAAAAATGAATTTTAAGTCTTTGAAGTGGTGGATAACCTCCAGGTTCATCTTACTTAGAGACCAACCTTAGCTGACATCCCCATTCACTGGATAAAGCAGAGACCTGAATTAAAGATGTCAAAATATTTTCCCTTCACAAAATTGTGACCTTCACAACCCTACAGTTCCTTTCTGTTCCTCAGCCCTGCGTTATAAATGGGTGGAGTTTTCTCATTTTCTGTCCAGCACAAACTGAAAACCCAGATGCTCAGCTGGAGTTCCATTCCTGTTACACAAATGGAATGGTCAATAAATGTATTGCTCTTAAAGACTTTCTTGGCAGTTTTCCCGCTGGAATTTGAGATATAATCAGCCACATTCTTTTCTCATATTCCATATGATAAAAATTTCTCAATTATTAGAGCATATCCTTTTTTATTAGCCTGAACAAAAGTGTGGGTTTATTCTGTGTATCATCTGCATTTATCTCAGGGAGGTAATTCAGTGCAGCCTCAGATTACATGGTTTGATAAATATTTTGAGTCCATTACGGAGATTCCAAACTATATTAATGAACCTTAAAGAAACTTAATGCCTTGGCTTTTATTTCTACCTCAGTTTTGTGTTTCCCAGGGCTTTAATTCTCAAAGTAAATGGATGAAAACACTTTGGAAAACAGCAGGTGGAGGCTCCAATGTGTATCTTTAGGAACAGACAGATTGCAAAGTCAGTCACTGAGGTTTGCTACTTCCATCCTAAAAATGATACTGATTCTTTTAAGAGTTAAGGTTCTTTGAACCCTAACTTCGATTGAGGGCACAAAAACCCCAGCTCTTCTGTAGTTCTTCCCACAGCCAGTAACTCTAAGCCAGCAGGACTCTGAAGAGGATTAATTTTTTAATATTTTCAAATTTCTGCCATAGCAAATACATTTAGCAACAGTGCATTTATTTAGAAGGATTCTGCTTAAAGGATCTACTCGACCAGGCAATCACAAGAGAAAAGCAGCTAAAAATGAAATTAAATTTGCATAATTTATCTGAAAGAAGTGTCTCTGTGTTTAGGGTGAGATGTTGTTTGCCACTATCTTAGCAGTATAGCAAGGCTGTGTAACATCTTTATAACATACCACACTTTTCTATAATGTCTCCTTTAGATCTTTGGTACAGTAAATTCCCAGCATGCCTGCTGTTACCAATTCTGATTTTAAAATGTCAAGAAGAAAATGTTAGATGTCATGGAAGGCAAGGTTTATGATAAGCATTTTGTGCCTGAAAAAAAAAATAATTAAATAAGATAGAACAGAAGCATTCTGTGGATTTTTATAAATATCTGATATATATTTCATACCCTTTTTTGAGCATGGATCATTGAAGTACATCCATGGAAAAGTTCAGAAATTCAGTTTCATCATTGCTCCACTGGACTAATGGAGTTCTTGTTTCTCTTCTTTCCAATGTGATTTATCAGGTCTTTAGCCTGACCAAACCCCAAGATAATCTAAAACAAGAGTCCTTACAGGAGCAACATTGTCTTGTGTTTATGAGTAGCAATGTACTTAATAAAGAAAATAGACTTAGATTTAAAAAAATTTACTCTGTTAAGGTCCTTAAGTGGAATAAAATTTTGTTGCCAAACTGTATTTCTGTTTTCCTTTATCCCTGTGTGTGTTTAATTAATTCTCCTTGACTTAGAGAAGAAAATGCACGGGACTAGGAGAATTTTGTTCACAATGCAAATTTGGTTTTCCCCGAGCACCTCTAGTTCTTCAAGCACTGAACACATTTAGGTCCTCCTTAATGGCAGTGCAGAATTACACCTTGTGGCCTGTCACAGGAAGGGAAACCCCCCAAATCTTTTTGATCTGC